ATATAGGGTTATATGGAATTAATGAGTCATGACATTACTAAAAAACTTTCATAGTCCCATATATTATATTCTAAACTATTAACATTTGGTTTTTTCACTTCATCAGTAATGTAACTGTGCAATCCTTTAGATTTAATGAACAATAAATAACATTTCGATCAAGTAAAATAATTAGTTTTATAAATTTTTACGGGATTGATTTGTAATGAAGGAAAGACGAACCTTCTAATATGTACCAAAAGAGTGAAAAAAGGACCAGAAAGCTGAAAAAAAAGCTGAAAGCCCCATAAATATATCTGGCTCTGCTTGGCAGCAACTCGAACACGGACGGCTCGGCTCAGGCGCGGAATACCAGAACAGGTCGGTTTGGCATGCAGAATGGTGAGATCGGACGTCCCGTGTGCGGAAAGCTGGAATGGTGCGCAGAAAGCTGGAAGACGTTTGTCTGACAATGCAGCACGATTCAATGCGCGGCCGGAGTGGGGTGACGTGCGGGAGGTCTAAAGGAGTTGCCTTAGGGTGCGGAACAGCCGGGAAGGCGCGGTTCAGCAGATTGGCAGAATGTGTGCAGCCACGTGAAATCCGAAATCTCGACGCGTGATTTGTGTTGGATCGCGTGTGAAATGCCAAAAAAGGAGCTAGATCTTGGTGTGTGACGATCGTGCGACACGATTCCGGCCGAAATGAGGTGATTCTTGACGGCGCGTGGGGTTCACGCGCTTCCACTACCGGCGGCGCGTGTGGCTCACGCGCGGCAGAGATTCCTCCAATCTGGTGTTAGGAGCGGCGGTTCCGTCTGGGTGGTTGGTCAGATTGGATTTTTTGATAGGTGAGTACTAATTTAACTTATTTTGTTATTTTAAGATTTTGAAAAACCTCTGAAATTAGAATCCTAAAATTAGTCTTATTTTGGTTATGATATTATTAAAATTTTGGAGAAAGTAAATTTTTAATTTTATTTATTATATTTTATATTTACACTTAGAAGATATATATGAAATAGTTATTCTTATTCTAATTGAACTCTAATTATATGATATAATTATACTATTAGAATTTTAATTAATATAGTATTCTACTTAACATGAAATCTTTATCAACATAATTTCTCTGCGTGATTTACTAATGCAAGTTGTGTAATTCATCAATGGGGCATGGGAAATGCTAATAATATTTGCATGCTTATCCTTGGTTCCTTCTTCTTGATACTGTTATTTGCCATGTTTCTCTTTGAGAATATTAATCTTGCTCTCCTATCATGAACATGACAGACAGAGAGAATCCCCATAAGGGTGTTATTGTGAAGATGTCAGGTTCAAGTTCAAAGTACAACTGTTCCCTTTCTATATCTGTTATTTGTGATGCAAATGGAGTTAAGGTGAAGAACTTTTTTTTCTGGAATATGATATCATAAATGATAATTTTAAGTTTCTTTGTATAGATTATAGCTAGTTCATTGACATAATACTCTTTTCATTATTTTGTTTACCTCAAAGGGGCCGCTTGTGTTGGAGAAATTGGACAGATGCAATTATGTGAGTAGCCAGAAACTCGTCTATTCTCCCTGATTTCATATTTTTAATAATAGGTACTCCTACTGTTGCTAAAGATAATTAATAATTTCTGGGCCACAAGAGTAAATAGTTTTAGATACAGATGCACTATATTTGGACCTTTTTCTTGGCTTAAGATCAGCTCATTTTAAAAACCTATAGTTTGAGATCGGATCAAGAAAAGCTCAGTAAAAAGTCAAGCCTGAATGAACTTGAGCTTGAGCTCAATCTTGAAAACTAATCGAGCTCGATAAAGAGCACGTTTAACTTTCAATTTACCTGATTTATTTTAAAAATGTGTGGATATATTTGCTATACAATTAAGACATACTAATCTTAGAGACATATTGTGTATATAAAATATACAAAACATATTTCAATTATTAATAGATGATTCATGAACTTTTGGACAAAATACCTTCAAGCTTGAGTTCGGCTCATTTAGCTAAAGGAACCTTTTTCAAGCTTGAATTCATGCTCAAGTTCGAGTTGACCAATATCAAATGAACTTGAGGTGGCTCAAACATGAATCATTCATGAACTTATTGTTAAATCTTGAGAAGAACTGATCCCGCAAGAGAGGTCCATTTGAAAAACCTGTCAGCGTGGGATCAACAACAGCAGTAACAGAGGGAAGTACACTTTCCTTTTGGGCTTTGTTGGCTGAAGATCAGCTGGAGTTGGTAGGTAGTAGCGTTCCTTAAGAACCAATTATGGAATTAGGTAGCTGTTGAGTATTATTATTAGATTTAGCTTGGAAATTGGAGTAAAACATGATATAGAATCTCGACTTGTAATAGGGATCTAATTTGGTTAGATACCCCTAGAAGTAAACTTATTATGATGAACAAAATTATCATCTACTAGTGTAGAAATATTAAGAGAATTTAGGAGGAAAGATATAATCTGATGTGAAAAGACGGGAAAAAATAGATAGTGAAATATATGCCAGAATTATGAAAGTGGAAACTTTCTTTTATTCTTTTTGAGTATATTTTTCAGATTTTGAGGGATACCAATTGGATATTTTGCTACAAATTGCAGAATAATTAGAAGAAAACAACGAATAAAAAATTCAGTTTTTGTTCATGGTGTTTGAACATGATTCTCAAATCCTTCTAACCTAAAGCTTTCTTCACATGCCAAAGATATGGTATGACCAGCCAGATCCAAAGTTCAAAGTCGGAAACGTGTATCCAAAGGAAAAAGTTTCAGTAGGAAACAATAATTGGACATAAACTGAACTGGCCTTGGTCGCAATCCATCCTGATGTTTATTTGTGGGAAAGGAAAGGAGGATCACCTCACAGGAGTCGCTGATCCACCGCCATAAATGACCCAAGATTTCAGGTATGGAAGATTGAAGACTGTATAATCATGTGTTGGCTTATGAATTCAATGACGAATGAGATAGGAAAGAATTTTCTTCTGTTCAAGACGGCAGAGGAGATCTGAGATGCTGCCCATGGAACTTTCTCAAAGATAGACAACACACAAAAACTTTTCGCGTTGGAGTGTATCCTCCACAACCTGCAACAGGGAGAACTGGCAGCAGCTCGACTTGTATGAGGAACAAAGGTGGAGCTGTCTTGAAGATGGGCTCCACTACCGGCAAATTGTGGACAGAAGAGGTTGTACAAATTTCTTCTCGGCCTAAATAGAGAACTGGATGATGTTCACGGGATGATTATGAGAATCAAACCAATTCCTAGTATCACGAGGCCTTTGCTGAAGTATGTAGGAAAGCCTGAAGAAAGTAATGTTCGGATGTTCCTGTTCCTAACTCCTCCCCGGGTCGTTCCCAATGTTTGGCACTTTCCATACTTCGTGGGTGAAACATCAACAAATTTGCTCATGATCAAGTTACAACCTAAGATCTATGACCATATTATGTTAACTGTTCGTATTTCGTTCATTCCATCGGTATGCTCCCAGGTATCTGTAATTGTGATCCGTTTGCCAGAACCAAGGGGTCTTTCTGTGGAAAGCTCCACGAACAATCGTCATTTTTTGATGGTTTTTCTGCTTCTCACAGCTGCTCTTTCCACACCTCCGGATATCTGGTGCCAAATCGTCGCCCGTTTCCTTATTTCTTTGATAATAGAGTTGACTATTTTTGTGGCATGTACAAGTTCATGAAGAGGGCTGGACGAGTGGAATGAGGGAGAGCGGCTCGATCGACAAAAAAGAAGAGTAGCCCCCCTAGAACCTGGCAAAGTCAACCCTTTACCAATCTTTGACTCCAGAAAGCTAGGCGCTCTCTGTTCAAGGATTACACACAATGCAGAGGGAAATTGGGAACTTGGGAAGGCACCTCAGCTTTTGTTGTGGTTGTGGCACATAAGGCACTTTCTCAATGTTGGCTTATTGCCCCTACCAAAGGATGGCCCTTGGATTTTATGGACCCTTGAAATTGTGGAAAAAAGCGGTTATCTGTCCTACCTATTAGCATTACCTAATGAGTCTTGACTGGACCCGGTTTTCCACATCTCGTCTCAAAAAATTCCTTGGTGATAAATATGCACAGTCATCTCTGCCACTAATCACAAAGGAGGAACTGATTCCTCAATCTCATGGCATCTTGAACCAGAGAATAAGCATTGGACACAATAATATTTTGTGGTGCACTTGGTGGGTCTCTCCTAGGCAGATGCTTCTTGGGAAAGTGCAGATGACAGCTTCGAGAAATATCCAACTATAGTACTTGCGATCAAGCTTCATTTTGAGGAAAGAAGAAATATTACATCTCTAGAATAGCAGGTTCAGTAAGATCCGTTCACTGGAAAAACCAATGAGGGTGAGACCATGGCAGCAAAATCAAAGGGAAGAACACTTCCCATTGGACTCTGCTGGCTGAAGATTGCTGGAGCAGTTAGTTACATAGTAGGTTTCCTTGAGGGCCGAAATAGGTTTAGCTATTAACTATTATAGTTAGATTTAATTTAGAGATTAGAATAAAATAGTTTCTAGGGGTTCTGTACTGTAATAGGGAGCAGTTAGTTACATAGTAGTTTCTAGGAGTTCTGTCCTGTAATAGGGATCTAGAAACCAAGAGTTTATCTTTGAAAATCAGACATTATCTTCAAAGAGCCCCACCATAGTTTGGCAAGGCTGCAATCTCGAGAGCAGGCTGCCAGCTTGCTCCGGAACTTCACCATAGCAGCCCTGTCACCTAATCAAAAGCAAGGGACTGTGAGTCCCTGATAAACCTATTTGCCTTGTTGCCATCTCTGCTGCTATCACTAGTTGGAGTCCTACTTACGGTTTGGTTGGGTAATGCAAGTGTTCATTACGGTTGGGATGTCTTTTTGATAGGTATCTTTGTTTGTTTCTCTCTTGAATTTATTCTTTTCAGATCCAAAAAGGAAATTAGCTTTCCCTCGAACTTTTTTGTTTGTGAGACACATTCAAAATTAAATGTAAGTTAAAAAGCAGAGGTGCAAATAAAGAAGAAAACAAACAGAGTGACCCCTCCTGGAACTTGAATGATGTATGAATGATTCGTACTTTAAACTTCCAGTTTTTTTTATTTTACTTCTTGTGCAGGCTACAGTGCTGCGACATCCCTCTGGTTGCGCCACAGTTACTACTGTTCATGGGAGTGGATGGGCCTGGTTTGGTACTTTAATAGCAATGTGAGGCTTAACATCTTGTATCTTATTTAACCTTTGGCAAAAAGAAGCTATTAGCTAAACAGTTTTGGTTTGGATGTGATAATATGACTGACTGATTGCTTGATTTCAGTATTGCATGTCTCTTCATAGCCTATCTGCTGGTGGGTGCATTTTATCGATTTTTTGCCCTCGGGGTTCGCGGTATAGATGTATGATTCTATCTTCATCTTCTTTTTTTCTTCTTTTCTTTTTGGAAAAAGAAAAGGAGATTCCTATCTTGCTTTGTATGCTTGGTTGTTAAACACGCATGGCATGTTTTGCTGATCACATCTAGATCTTAATTTTTACTTAGTTCATTCTCATTTAGTTCGTAGTTCTATTTCTTATATAAATCCTAATATACATCATTAGAATATGGTTTGTTGCTAATGAGTTACCACTACCATATCTTAAATCCATTGGTAGTGAGAATTTAATTCCTGCCTTTTCAGAGTAGCAGTTGAATTCTAACTGTCAAAGAATTTTAAAATGAGAGCAGTTGTAACTGTAACTCTATAAATTATGTTGTAGCTATGCACATTAAAGCTACTATGCAAATTAAAACTAGATACTAACTATGAATTGGATGGGAAAAGTACCAACTGCATAAGTAAAATGAGAAATGTGCCAAATGCAGCTTTACTTCTCTGAGTTGGAAAGTTGCTTAATCATATAGCCAGTCCATATTACTCTTTTGGCTTCACTTTTTCTTTTCATGTACTGGAACTCAGAAAAAGAGCATTTTTTTTCTATATACCAACAGTCTCTTGGGAATAATAGACTAAAAGAGTCTCAAATTGCAAATCTTACATTATTTATGATATTATGGGCTGCTATGCTTTGTCTTGCTCTTTTGAATCTCTCTTTATGTTTTCTTTTTGGGTCCTTAATTCTATTATATTATCTCCATTTCTGTAGGTAATTCCAAATTTGGACTTATGGATGAGCTTGCCCCATAAAATACAGGTATTGTTTACATCCATCCATAAGGCTGTGGTATCTTGCATTTTTCTGTTAGAGTTGTTGCATGAAATGTCAGCTATACTTGTGCAAAATGAGAAGACACTAAAGTGGATATAGTGCAATACTAAGGGAAATTTTTGTAATTGTAATGTTTATGTATTATTTAGTAAATAGTATCTATAGGCTTATTATTGGTGTGCGTTTATTATTTCATAGTAATTGGGATCCAATTTAATAATTCTTTGGTACAGGCATTCAATTAATTAGCTTGTTTTTCTCTTTGGTAGTAATTACCCTTAAAAAGTTCTTATTTGATTGCATTTTGATGCCTATAAAAAGGGTACCCTTGGTAATTATTTGGTAGATTATTCATTATTATACAAACATTGAGTATTGATTTGACTCTTGAGATTTGAGATTTCCAATTTTGGTTCTCCATAAATTTTCTCTTAGTACTGTTTGCAAGCTGTTTTTGTCCTCCATCATGCATATTATTAGAAATAACATTCTTTTAGATGGCAATAAGACTTTACTAGTGTTGGCTCTGAAGATGTTTGAGCTGTGTTCCTGATGCTGGGAACTAATCTAAGGATTGGTAAGCAATGTACTCATTGAGCTCAGTTCCTGATATGAGGAGTTTGTTTCAGAAATTGTGCAATGAATAGGAACAGACTAAGCTTCTTTTTCTCTCTCGCATATTGTTTGTTACGGCCACTAATATTCTCATATGTTATGCTATGCTTAGAGGAAAAAATTAACCTTGGCAGAACATTTTGGGAATGAGATATTGTGTATGTAACAGTCACAATCTTCCTTACCGTTGCACCCTTTTTAGGCAATTTTTTGTTATGCATACACACAACTTAGTCTGTTTGATCTTTGTTGATATGTAATCTACTTGGGAAGTCTCTTAGTTTGTAGTTGATAAGTAATTTAAAATAACTTGTTTTATTGAAATATTTATTCTGATGAATGTGGAAAAGGAAGTGCCTTCCAAGATTTTAAAAAAAAAAAAATTAAAAAACAAGTAGTGAGCTTGTTATTCATGTCAGTGCAGAACAGAATCCACATTAGACTGCAAGCAAATAGGGCTTTATAGGAAATTGTAGATGTCCAACTTGTGTTTTGTTTTCCTTGCAGAATTGTTTTGTGTCCTTGGTGCGGAGGTTTAAGGGACCTTCACATGGTTACCGGAATTATTCTTCTCCAGTAAACTTTTGAGCAATTACAACTTTGTTAAAGATTTGATGCGCAAAATAGTTTTGACAAGTGGCAGCTTTTGTACGAACTTTTAGAAAGAGGAAAAAACAGTAAGTTTTGTGGACCGCAACCTTCATTTTACCCTGATTCCTTTGTCGAAGCAGATTCTTTAGATCCAGTGAGTGGTGAGTTATCGTTACTATCCGACACATACCACTGCATAAAAGATGCATTTTTTTCTTTCTTGCTCCATTAATGATAAGCTTTTTTCCCACTCGAAAAGATTCAATTGTATTTAATTGATTATAATCTTGGTTAAAATGCTTAATGTAAACAGTATTACCATTTTTTTTTCTCCTTTTATATTGACATTCTTGTAGTTCTTGAGGTAATGAATGTACTTTGCTAATTTGAATGTGTCACGTACTTGCCTGTTGGGTATGCATTTGAGGAAGCACTTACGATATACTGCAGGATAGAATCGTTATCTCGTCCTTCTAACTTGTCTTGCTATTTGACTGAATTATCGGGTAGTGGACCAAACCCATTCGGCTACGAAAGCCAATTACGATCTTTTCATATAAGTCGTGCTGGTGTGGCAGACAGTCCCTGATGTACACACAAGATGCTGAAATAGTCAGGGGTTAGGCACAGGAGCAGAAAAATCATGAAAGCAGGTTTAGGTTTTTCCTGGGAAGCTAAGATGGTACCTTAATTAAGGGACTGTTTGGAAGGGTTTAGAAGAGGGTAGGAGAGAGGAGAAAGTGAGGTTTAATTTGGTTTTCACAGGAAATTTTTGGTTTATCTTTTATTCAATGTGTATCAGTTCTGAACGGAACTGGTGATTTTCACCTCTTAGGCCAGAGAGAGAGAGAGAGAGAATATGTTCTCCAATTAAAACTAGATTTGGTTCTTGTACATACCCTGAATTAACCGTAGTTTCTTGCATTCATATATATATATATGCATATATATGCGTGTATACATATGTATTATATATATGCCATACCATTTGATACTAATTTTCTCTTTCTAGCTGGTCTGTTGCTTTATGTAGTTTGGCTGATTGGATATCTGGATTAGATTCAACTAATTTGATTATGATACTAAACTGCCTCGTTTTATTTTTATTTTGTTTTTCGACAATACAATTCATTTGGACTCAAAAAATTTCAACTCACTCACCAAAAACTGAGATTTTATTTGAAGAATAAACAAAAGCTGTTACCTAACAATGATTCTCAAGGGATTACTAATTATTATTATTATTATTATTATTATTTCATTTTGTAAATATATTTTTCTCAATAATTCTCTCCTTGTAAAAAAAAAAAAAAAAAGATATATCAAATTTACTTTATTCTTAAGAATTTATAGCACCAAAGGAAATTCAAGAAGTAATATATTTTTTTTTTTACAAGAAATTTTCAATTCAAATAATAGAAAATTCTGTCAATTAATTTCAAATATTTGTCCAGAAACATTTTTGATTTTGAGTTTTATCCAAATCCATATTTAAAAATCTCTTATCTTTGTTTTTATCTTTTTGTTTAGTTTCAGGTAGGATAATTAATATTTGGTTTTAGTTGACCCATCCCCCTTATATTTCTGGCAATTAGAAGCTGAAATGCTACCAAATATTCACCTAATACTCCTTATAGTAATTTAATATAAAAGTAATTATCATAAACCATAGTTTAATTTCGCAATCAAATGATCTTTCTCATAAGTTACTGTAATTATGGACCACCCACAAAGTAATTCAAGATAATGACGTGCGACCTTCAGATATGCATATTTGTATATATAGATATGGAAACCCTTGACGTAGAAGCCAAGCGAAATTATCACCTTTTCATCAGCATCATGAAACCACCTATTACACTTCTTCAGAATATGTTATTAAGTATTTAAAATCCAATATACATATACATATGTATGTACCTTAATGCTCGAATTATTACCGTAATTACTATATATGTAGTAGTTTATATATCTACAGTAATTACATATAATCCATCAGTATTATCCCCAAACACCCACCTAATATCTCTTTTCAATTAATTAAATTCCTTAATTAGATCAGCATTTTAAGTTAAATCCAACCAACAAAGTAAGACTATCTGAATCGCATGATAACTCACTAAATTTAGGTGATTACTTCAATGTTGAATTTAAACATGCATAATAAACTATATATATATATATATATATATATAAACTGCATCATAAATAAACTTAAAACGGTAGATATTAAGACATACCATATATGACAATTTGACATCTTCAACAAAATAAAAACGGTTTAAGTTGAATTAAATTCTTCACCACCTCTCCTCCCCTATATACAGATACCATATACATATCTGTGTATATTATAGTAATGTAATTTGCTATAATTGCTTCACACACACACACACACACACACACACACACACACACACACATATATATATATATATAAACAAATCTTCACATAAAACCTTGGCGTAAACACTAACATAACCCCCGTCATATAATCATTGGATCAAACTCCAGAAAACAACCCAACAGAAAATAACTTCAAAAAAAAAACACCATGAAGCAGATTCTTCAGCCATCTTCAATCTCTTCTTCTGCAACTAGTCCTCTTCTAAGAAAACCCCGTCTCTCTCCTTACCTCTTCACCTTACTCGCTTTCATCGTCTTCGTCGCCATTCTCTACGGCGAGGATTTCATGTGCATTTTCAGCCAACTCGAGCCCAGCAGCACCAACTCGGGTCGACCCATCTTGCGAACCACCGGTGAGTTGCGTCGAGTCAATACCATCGACCCAATCGAGTATCAATATACATAAATATATACATTTATAGTAACCTCCCGGTTGATCAACAACAAATCGAGTCATGCATGTTTTTTTCCTTTTTTTCTTTTAAATTTTCTGGTTTTCTTGAGTTGTTGATGACTGAGTCGGGCGTGGGGTTTTGGAGTTAGAGAAGAAAAAAGAAAAGCTGCCGTTCGCTATAGGGAGGCTGCAGGGGAAAGCCATGGAAGAGTGCGACGTGTTCAGTGGGAGGTGGGTGAAGGATGAGTTGACTCGGCCGCTTTACCAGGAATCGGAGTGTCCGTACATTCAGCCTCAGCTTACATGTCAAGAACATGGCAGGCCTGATAAGGAGTACCAGTTCTGGAGATGGCAGCCTCATGCCTGCTCTCTTCCCAGGTTAGTCTACTCAAATTCTTCTCTCTCGTTTTAACGTTCTGTTCTTGATCTCCATGTTTCTTGTTCAACATAACGCAACTTAATCCGTTCTTAATTCTTTTGTCATGCTTAAACATGAATTATTAATTGTTGAAGAAAAATTTAGGCTAGTGCAATTTTAATGGATTAATCAGTTCTTAAGCAAGTGTCCATTTGTTAATCAAATATAAGGTTCTATTAATTTTGGTATTAAGTTGTTTAATCTCGATTTCTACAATTTACATGTGTTTTACAGAATTAATTTTAAAATCTATTCATATAACTATAAATTAAATAGCATATTGTTAAATATTAGCGTTAAATTAAATAGCTTCCGGGTCGGTTGAATTGGTTGATGGGTTCGCCGTCCAGCCGGCTCGTGATGCCCTGTTACAAGTGTCTGAGAACTCTGTGTGTGTGTGTGTGTGTGTGTTACATCCTGCCACGTGGAGATCAGTGGGTAAGAGTTATTGGAAGTGGGACCCACGTCTTGAGTTGAAATTTTGGTGATCATTCGTGGATGTGCGCGCATTAACTTTAATTTCATATTTAATTAAATGAAATTAAAAATTATAAGTTTGACCATTTATAATAAAAGTAATTATGACAGATATTGAATTAATGTTCTTCCTAGGTACGGTATGTTTAGATAATGCAAGCATGTAGTGTCCTACTTACCAATATATTTTTTTTAAATATTAAATATTATATTCACATTTAAAAAATTATTTTATTAATTATTTGTGTAAAATCTATAATTTGTTAGTCGAATGTTAATTGTATAATTAATTATTTGTAAATTAAAAATAATTATATTTATAAAAATTACAGTTTTAATGCAACGTTGATGCTGGAAAGCCTAAGAGGAAAGAGGATGATGTTCGTGGGAGACTCATTGAACAGAGGAATGTATGTTTCCATGGTCTGTCTTCTTCATTCACTCATTCCTGAACATGCCAAGTCCATGAAAACCTTTGATTCACTGACCGTCTTCACAGCCAAGGTTTGTTTTCATGCACATCTATATACATACATACACACACACATATTATAATTATTTCATCTTTTAATCAAATCTTGTTAAATATAATGAAGGAAAAAACTATGGAAGAGACATTTTACTCCTCTCGCATAGTTAAATATATATAATTGTTTGTGGGACTCACCTGTTATATGAAGAGAGATACGTAAAAAAAATTCTGTGAATATGATGTAGGAGTACAATGCGACAATCGAATTTTATTGGGCACCATTTCTTCTGGAATCAAATTCAGACAACGCAATAATACATAGAGTATCGGATAGAATAGTAAGGAAGGGGTCCATTAACAAGCATGGCCGCCATTGGAAAGGTGTTGATATATTGGTATTCAACACTTATTTGTGGTGGATGACTGGTTTGAAGATGAAGATCCTGTATGTTCTATTTTTTTTTATAAATTATTTTATTATTTATCAAATATGATATGATTTTACTATAAGAACTATGTATTTTTTTAATTAATCAACTGTCATATTATAATTAATACATAGACAAGGACCATTTGACGAACAAGAGAAGGAAATAGTGGAGGTGTCAACTGAGGATGCTTATAGAATGGCAATGAAGAGTATGTTGAGATGGGTGAAGAAAAATATGGATGTCAACAAGACAAGAGTTTTTTTCACTAGCATGTCACCTTCCCATGGAAAGTAAGTTTTTATTATTTTTTTTAATTATTTTTTTACCCAACTCCCGATGCTTCTATTTGAGTAATTCAAAAAAAAAATGTATTAGTGTGATTTGATTTAAATTAAAAAAATCTATTTAGTTAATAGAACCAATTAAATACACTCAATCTAAATAGAGGTTATTAAATTAAAATTTTATTATATAAAACACATCTTATTTAATAATAAAAATAGTTATCTTCTTATAATATGTCAACTCTAACTGATGCAGAAGTATAGATTGGGGAGGTGAACCGGGCCAAAATTGTTATAACGAAACAACAATAATCAAAGATTCAGAGTATTGGGGCTCAGATTGCAGAAAAAGTATAATGAAAGTAATAGGAGAAGTGTTTAGCAAATCAAAAGTTCCCATTACATTTCTTAATATCACACAACTTTCGAGTTATCGCAGAGATGCACATACTTCTATCTACAAGAAACAATGGAGTCCATTAACACCTGAACAGTTGGCTAACCCTGTAAGCTATGCTGATTGTGTGCATTGGTGTTTGCCTGGCTTGCAAGATACTTGGAATGAGCTTCTCTTTACCAAGCTCTTTTATCCTTGAATTCATTAAGGTTTTTTTTTTTTTTTCTGGTTTGGAGATGAAGTGGGAAGGAAAATGAAAAAGATTAAGAGAGAAAAATTGTAAAAAGAAATTATATACAGTTGATTGATCCAAATTTTTTTTTTACTAATTCATTAATTGGTAGAATTGATTGTTTATCAAACTTAATATAATTGATTATCTTGGGAATTGATTTTTTATACATGTTCTTCATGTTTTTAGTAAGATGATTTGTCTCAAATTCAAGAAAAGTTTTATTAATATAGAATTTATTGAGAAATATTTACATGCAGACTTATTTAAAAATATGAATTATTGCTTAATTTAGTAATTAATACGTCATTTTTTTTATAAGATATCATTAAGTTTGAGTTGAATTTGCTTTTATGTATATGCAAAATTGTATTGTTGCTAAATGTTTGTGAAATTTATCAAAAATATAAAGAGTGAACACAAAAAAGGGGTATTATATTATGTATGAAAACAAACAGATTTCTGGAACTATTTTATTGACGTTGGGCCTCATTTTCTGTCTACTCATCACTTTGAGCCGAAGCTACAAATTCTCGCGTAGCACCATGGGCTTTAATTTAAGACATGGATATATATACATATATTGCAATACTCTGAGTCCAGAATTAATTTTAAAATTTTAAAAAAATATATAAAAATATAATTTATAAATTTTTATTTAATATAAAATTAGGAAAAAAAATAAGCGGATTATGAAATTAAAAATAATTTTGAAAAAAAGTTGTGAAAATTTGGATTCGGAGAGTATTTTTGAAATAAAAATTAGAAACTAGAGGTCAAAACGCAATTAAAAAAAATTGCACCACGTAGAACCACCCAATCAGTAGCTCCGACGAATCGGAGCGCACCGTGTGGCAAGGCACGCTGACTAGGTGCCACGCGGGAGACCAGTTGGTAATCCGCGTGCCTACGATCAGACGACTCAGATGCATTCCTGCGTGCGTGGACGGTTTGGATCCGTTCCCTCCTCATGCACGATCGACGATCGCGATTAAACACGATGAATGGTTCAGATTTTTCCCATCTTTAAATGCAATCATACGATCCAGATCAAATCGCGATGAACGGTCAAGATTCATTGTCTCTTTAAATGCAATTGGACGGTTGAGATCAAATACGATGAAGAACCCAGATTTAAGAAAGACAGGTATAAATAACTCATATCACACCGAATCCAAACCCTAGCCGTCAGCTCCCCCGCCGGAGAAGAAGAACCAGTCGCAGGAAAAGGGAGCTGACAGTCGCCCGCCGCCGCGCCAAAGCCACCTCCAACCGCTAAAAAATATAAAAATTCTCCTATCCGCTTGAAATTTGATTTCGAACACCCCCATGGTTAAATCAGAGCAAAAGGAACAATGGATAGTGGGAAACTATGGGTAAAACGCGGCGCTGCTGCCGTGGGCAAAACTCAAAATCGCCTCCGATGAGCCCCTTCTCGTTTTCCGTTTTGTGCGATTTTTTCACAATTGTGTTCACCATTCTATTTTTTACAGGTTGACCGAAGAAAAACGTCCAGCTGCAAAGATGGGCCAGCAGAGCCGCCGCACCGAAAAATCTCGCCGCCGGTAACTTTTTTATTTTTTGACTTTTTTTGGCCAACCAAGACCTCCCAAAGTATTTTCTAGCAGGGATGGGTATAAAACCGGCTGAACTGGCCAAAATTGACCAAAAACGGCCAGTCCGATACAAACCACCACCGTGGGCGGCGGTGCCGTCGCTGGAGCACTGTAGTGACGTCATGCCAAAATTTCAAAATTGGCCAAAAAAGATTTTTAACATCGATTTTAGATTTTTTTTGGTATTTTTAAGTACGTGAATTGTGTTTTAATCTTCATAGAAAACTTTAGGAAACCGGGGACTGCTAGTAAGCGCAGTAGAAAGTTCAGTATTTCGAATATCGATTCGAGTAAGAATCATTCACTTTATTCCCTGTTATAAAATTGAAGTTTAATTATCAATAATGCGGTATTTTGCGTAATTTAGAAAACTTCAAGAATTAATTACAACTTACTAATGGAGCCAGAACCGGTTATTTATTATTGTTTGTCTTGTTTAATCAATTATTTTATTTTACAGCTTTAAATGCATGAATATACTGGAATTGGTAAAATAATTGAGTTGTGTTTCTTTGATGCACGTATTGTTTGTCTTGCACTAATTTACGGTTAAATTATGAAACCGAAAATTAAATGTAAACAAAAAATTGATTGGTTAAGTGAATTAATGAATAATAGCCTTACTGGATATCGTGGGAGATGATGGACAGACTGGGTACATAGAGAATCATATCGTAAACATCACCTCATACCGAACAGGGTATCGAGAATTAGTATTTTGAGGCTCATACCGGATGGGGTATGAAGACACCCATTTCACCCTTACACCAGATGGAGTATTGAAGGATGATATTTTTGGCACTAATATCGAATGGGGTATGGGAACAACTAATTAGTTGACAAGGTTGGATGTTGAGTCACACGTAATGGGACATTCCTATGGACCCCTACAGATACCAGTAGGCGAATAAAAAGAAAAAGTTATTAATTTTATTTATTTGAATATGAGATTATGATGTTGTTAAGTTATTGTCTCTATAGGTCAGTTTTAGAAATCTCACAATGATAAGTATGCAATAAATGGTTTTACTTATGATAAATAAATTTACTTAAATTAAGGGCTCAATTGGTTATTTTTATGATTTTTACTAACATTCAGTTTCTGTATCGGTGAGTAGTGTGATATTCTTACTGGGCTAGTATAACTCACCCATTCATTAACTATTTCAGATCAAGAGGATCAAGATCCAGATTCTAATTAACAAAGGGGTTGTGAATAGTTCACCACTCGGACTCATTCAAAAGTTAGTGAAAGTCATCTTAGGATGCTCAGTTGTTTACTTTTCGTTTATTTCATTGATTTTTGTTTGTTTCTTTAGAACATACATTTTCGTACCCCTATTGGGTATTCTAATTATTGTGTAAGGAATGTAAATCTTAACTTTATTATTTCACTTCCGCATTCAATTTATAATTTATTTTCTTTTAAGTTCTTGGTCGTTATAATTGGTATCAGAGCCGCATTCCTAGAAACCATTCCTTACACAAAGACTTAAAAACACCAAATACGAACTATTGCTTAACCCTTCCTTGTGAAAAATAAGTACAAAGACATGAGGAGATGAGGTCTTTTACCGAACATAGCAGCCCGAGACGAGTCACTTCGATAGAATGTCAATCGACTCTTCGAGATTTTAGAGAGACTCATCTCTGTCTAGTAGGCCATGGATGAGAGGAAGGAACTATCTGACCCTCCACCACTTCCACAATATGAGCTACCCCTACAACGAGAAGATCTAACGCCACCTCGATGCAACCCTGCTCCTCTGTCGTATCATCCGACATCGTCACAATACAATTCAGAGCCCCCATCATATTATTCGGCACCGTTACAGGGTCACCCGATCCCTCCCTAGTAACATCTGGCCCCTCGTTAAGGGGACTCAGTTTTACCCATGATGGACCCGATAGAGATTGATACAGGAGACTCTGATGTATTTCTAAGAATGAATTGGTTAGCGACGTATCATGCCATTGTGGATTATTTTCACAAGAAAAATTATATTTAAGCCTCCTAATAAAGAGTCATTTACAAGCTAATAAAGACTTTGAATATTATTTCCTCATAGTAATTTCTTTATTATATAGCACTTTAACTCAATTATTTTCTCTAACTAGGCAAACCTAAGAAAGAAATTTACATTCAAGAGATCTTGGTAGTCTGAGACTTCTTGAACTTGTTTTCTGATGAACTTTCCAAACCACCAATAGACAGAGAAGTTAAGTTCACTATAAACCTTTAGTCTGATGCGCAACCTATCTTAGTTTTTTTTTATTGCATGAGTCATGTATAGATAGAAAAGTTGAGAAAACAGATCAATGAATTGCAGGACAGTAAATTCATTCGACATAGTGTGTCCGATTAGAGTGCTGCAATCACATTTACGAGGAATGGAAAATGGGATGTTAAGGTTATGTATTGACTACAGATGACTAAACATGGTCACGATCGAGAACAAGTACCCCATCCCCAGAATCAATGACATTTTTTTTCAACTAGGTACGGACACTATGAGTTCCTGGTTGTGTCATTTGAATTAACCAATGCACCAGGCATCTTCATATATTTGATGAACAAGATTTTTAGATAATTCCTATATCAGTTCGTCATTGTATTTATCGATGATATCCTACTCTATTTAAAAAGTAAAGAGGAACACGCTCACTATCTGACTCAGGTTTTGTAAGTTTTCAGAGAAAGAAGTTATATGCAAAGCTGAGTAAGTGTGAGTTCTACCTCGAGCAGACTACCTTCCTATGGCACATTATATCAAGGAATGAAGTATTAATGAACCCCAAAAAAATTGAGGCAGTATTCTGCTAGAAAAAATTAACCTCGGTCAAGAAGATTTGCAGCTTTCTGGAGATGGATTACCACAGGTTTGTGGAAGAATTTTCTAACTGACACATATTCACTAAAAGAATCTCAACATGTGTCAGAGAAGATGGATAGAACTTCTCAAGGACTACGATTGCAATATCTTGTATTACTCCGGTAAGGACAATGTGGTAGCCGACGCATTCAACAGAAAAAATGCAACTATATTAGCTCACCTATTGGTTTCAGAATGCAGGATAATAGGGGTCACTTAACAGGTATGACTTCAGGACCTGAAAAGAGTTACATGTTTGGCCCACCAAACTGTTTAATCTAAGTTAATGCAGAGAATAAAGGAAGCAAAGTCCACTGATTCCACCCTAGCAACCCTAAAAAAAAATGCGGAACATGGAGTAAATTCAGAATTTCAAGTCTCTACCAATGGGTTGCTTAGATTTCAAGATAGAGTGTGTGTTCCATGTGACAGTGAGCTGAAAATGGATATCATGACAGAGGCTCATAACTCAAATTTTGTCATACATCCCAAAAGCATTAAGATGTATCAAAGTATGCTACCCTGATTTTGGTGAAACATGATGAAAAGAGAGGTGGCCGACTTTATTTTCAAGTGTTTGGTATGTCAGCAAGTCAAGGCAGAGTATCAATGCTCAGGCAGACTACTTTAGGCATTACCAATTCTGGAGTGGAAGTGGAAACACATCATAATAGATTTTGTGATAGGATTGCCTATGACACGTTCGAGACATGATGTATTTGGGTAATTATTGACCCGCTCACCAAGTCTTCCCACTTCTTGGCCATCAAGATGACTAACCCTTCAGATAAGTTAGTAAGAATGTATATCCAGAAGATAATCAGGTTACATGGAATACCAGTGGCAGTAGTGTCTGACAGGGACCCCAGGTTCACTTCTTAGTTCTGCTCTAGTTTTCAGCAAGTCATGGGAACGAAACTATCCCTTAGTACTACATTCCACCCTCAGGCCAATGGACAATCAGAAAGGATGATTCGCACAATGGAGCATATATTTTGAGCTTGTGTTCTTGACTTCGGGGACCATTGGGATGATCACATACCCTTAATAAAGTTCGCCTACAATAACAACTATCAAGTAAGTATCGACATCGCTCCGTATGAGGTGTTATATGACTGTCAATGCAAATCACCGATATATTAGAAAAAGGTGGGTGATAGAAAATTGTTCGGCCCAAATCTTGTGGAGGAGACTACAACTAAAATAGTTAAAATCAAGAAGAACATTCAGACGGCTCAGAGCAGACAGAAGAGTTATGCGGACACCCGGATGAGGAATTTAGAATTTGAGAAAGGTGATCGAGTGTTCCTTAAGATCACTCCTTTCAAGGGAGTCAATAGATTTGGCAAGAGGAAGAAACTAAATCTCCGCTTTATTAGGCCATTCGAAATCTTAAACAAAAAATTGGTACCACCACCTACAAACTGGCACTATTTCTAGAACTATTCAAGGTCTATAATGTGTTTCATGTGTCTAATTACGCAAGTACAACCTGAACCCCTCTCACATCTTGGCCCACGAGCCCCTTTCACTCCAAGAAGATTTGTCCTATGAAGAGGTACCGGTGGGTATTGTGGACCGAAAGAGTATAGTACTCCATAACTAGGAAATTTCCTTTGTTGAGGTTCTATGGCAAAATCACACATAAAAAGAGGCCACGTGAGAGCTAGAATCAGACTTCAGAGCGTAGTATCCCCAACTGTTTGATTGAGTGAGATAGAGACAAATTTGAGGGACCAAATTTCTTTTAAAGGAGGAGAGTTGTAATACCAGGATCCGATATTTGGCCCAAAATTAATTTTAAAATTAAAAAAATATATAAAAATATAGTTTTTAAATTTTTATTTAATGTAAAATTAGGAAAACAAATAGGTAGATGATGAAATTGAAAATAATTTTGGAAAAAATGCGTGAAAATTTGAGTTCAGGAAGTATTTTTTAAATAAAAATCAGAAACTGAGGGGTCAAAATACAATTAAAAATAATTGTGCCACGTAAGATGCCCAGTCAGTAGCCCCAACAAACCAGAGCACGTCGTGTGGCAAGGCACGCTAACTCGGTGCCACACGGGAGGCCACGCTGGCAATCTGCATGTCTGCGATCGGATAGCCCGAATGCATTCCCGTGCGCGTGGATGGTCCGGATCCGTTCCCTCCTCAGGCACGATCGAACGGTCATAATTAAACAAGATGAACGATCTAAATTTATTTATTTTTTAAACGTGATCGTACGGTATAGATCAAATTGCGATGAATGATTTAGATTCATTTCTTCTTTAAACGTGATCGGACGGTCGAGATCAAATGCGATGAACAGTCCAGATTTAAGAAAGACGGGTATAAATATCTCACATCACACCGAATCCAAACTCTAGCCGTTAGCCCCTCCGCTTGAGAAGAAGAACCAGTCGCCGGAGAAAGGAGTCGACCGCTGCCTGCTGTCGCGTTAGAGACACATTCGATCGCCAAAAAATGTAAAAATTCTTCTATCCACTCGGAATTTAATTTTGAATATCCCTATAGTCAAATCAGAGTAAAAGAAATGACAGATGAGCTGAAAACTGCGGGTAAAGCCTGGCGGCGTTGTTATGGGAAAAACCCAAAATCGCCTCCGATGAGCCCCTTTTTGTTTCTTGTTTCATACGATTTTTTCACAATTATTTTCACCATTCTGTTTTTTACAGGTTGACAAAAGAAAAATACTTAGCCGCGAATGTGAGCCGGCGGCGCCACCACACCAGAAAATCCCGTCGCTGATAAGTTTTTATTTTCGATTTTTTTTCGGCCAACTGAGACCCCTAACATATTTTCTCGCAGAAATGGATATAAAATCAGCCGAAACCGGCCAAAAATGGCTGAAAACGGTATGTCAAAGGTAAACTGCGGCCACAGGCGGCGGTGCCATTGCCAGAGCACAGCGATGCCGTTATGCCGAAATTTTGAAATTGGCCGAAAAAGGTTTTTAACATCGATTTTGAATTTTTTAGGGTATTTTTAGGTTCGTGAAGTATGTTTTAATCTCCGCATAAAGATTTAAGAAATCAAGAGACCGCTAGTAAATGCAGTAGAAAGTTCAGTTTTTTAAACACTGATTCGAGTAAGAATCTCTTACCTTACTACCTGTTATGAAATTAAAGTTTAATTATCAATAATATGATATTTTGCATAATTTAGAAAACTTCAATAATTAATTACAGGTTACTAATGGAGACAAAACTGATTATTTATTATTGTTTGTCCTGTTTAACAGATTGTTTGATTTTATAGCTTTAAATACATTATAATATACTAGAATTGGTAAAATGATTGAGTTGTATTTTCTTGGTGCATGTATTATTTGTTTTATGTTGATTTATGGTTAAATTGTAAAACTAAAAATTAAATATAAACAGAAAATTGATTGATTAAGTGAATGAATGAATGGTAGCCTTACTGGATATCCTGAGAGATGGTGGACGGACCGGGTAGGGAATTCTACCGTAAACGTTGCCTCATACCGGACAGAGTATCGAGAATTGGTATTTTTGGCGCTCATACCGGATGGGATATGGGGACGACCCGTTTCATCCTCATACCAGACGAGGTATTAAGGGATGGTATTTTTGGCGCTCATATCGGATGGGGTATGGAGACGACCGGTTAGTTGGCAATGTTGGATGTTGGTCCACGCGTAGTGGGATATCCTTATGGACCCTCATGAATACCAATAGGCAAATAAAAAAGAAAAATTGTTATTGTAACGGCTCCGGAAATTAAAAGAAAATGTATAAATTTATTCTAAGTGTGGAAGCATAATAAAATATATTATGATTAACATCCCTTATACAATAATCAAAACGTATTAAAGATATGAAATAATAAACTAACTAAAGTAAATATTATGAATAAATACTATAAGGAAAACTAATAAATCTTTAGGCTTCTACTCGCCGTCTTCCTGCAGAACGGGCTTGGGAACCAAGTCCTCCTGATCTGAAATG